CCCGTGAAAGCCCTACAATTCCCTCTGGATATTAGCTGGAGACAGTCGGGCTTTTGAAGAGAGAGGACAGAAGACAATGGTGAAACAGCATGCCACCTGAGAAAGGGCACTGTGTCATCATCTGGGTGATTCTGGATCAGAACTGTGATTTCTTTAATGCCCCAGAATCAAGTGGTTAGATTTTAAGCCACATTATCAAAGTACATAGGGACTAAGGTATAGACCAGAATATTAATTTACGAAAGAGGAAAAGAGTTACCTGACCAACAGGTTTTACAAAGACAATCTATACAAGGGCCAGGTTATGACTAGAATTCTCTGGTGCCAGACTTGAGGCCCAAGTACAAATGACTGGGATGATTGATGGTGCCCAGCCATGTTCTCCTTACCCCAATAATCTAGAGTCTCTGCTTATCCTGACCATATCCATTCCCCCAAGGATGAGGAGGATATGCTCAGGCACTGCCACTGTTTCTAGAAAATGTTTTTTTTTTTTAATTTCAGAAAAAAATACCTTTATAATATGTTGGGGTCTTGTTCTTTTCTTCTCAAGATTTCTGTTACCAGCCAAGACCCTAGTCTTTGCCCATTACCGCTACCTGTTGTCTTTCCCAGCTCTTGCCTCTTTTAATGCTTTACGTTCCCAAGAATAATACTCACAGGTAAAATTCTCAAAGTACAGAATTGTTACAATCCACAATAATTTTCTGTGCATTAACACGGTAGGTCTTAGTGTGCCCATTACAGAGATGAGAAAGTGGAAGCTTGATATCTTACATTTAGTGAATGACAGAACAGCCATCGCAACACAGATTTCCAGTCTAAAGGCAATATTTTTTTCCACATGATGTTGCCACAAACACCATAGGATTAAAGAATATTCAAGTGGAACAGATCTAAGGAATCACCTAGTCTATGGCCATACCACCCTGAATGTGCCTCATCTAAGGAATCGCCTAAAATCCAGCCTAGACCTCACTGTTCAATACCCTAGCCACTAGTCATGTGTGACCAGATTAATTATTAATTAGCTAAAATAAAATTCTTGGTTTCACAGTCACACTAGCCACATTTCAAGTGCTTACTAGACATGTGACTAAAAGATTACCATATTAACTGGCCTGGACTATTCGCCTCATTTTATAGAAGAGAACAATTTGAATTCCTAGATCTTATTTTAGGAATCTCTATTTTTTAGCTGTTAAAAATAAAAATATTTAAAAACTATTTGTGAAATCAGCATGTACCTTGTTCAAAAGATTTTCCTTGTTGAATCCAAAATGGTGGGAAGACAGGCAGGAGATGGTATTTTTGGGGTGCACCTGAAAGGTCTTGCTGCAGCCTGAAATTCTTTGGCACATTAAATTGAGCATCGTGAAGAAGCACAGAATCCTTGATGTATCCTAGAGGATGGGTTAAGAGTTATTGAGGAAATAGACTCACCAATGTAGGAGTCTGGAGATAACTACAATCTCTTCCATTTGTACTAGTCTTGATTTTGTACAGTGCCCATCAAGGAAGACAATTGGAGGATGGGAAGAGTCAGGAGTGGTGGCACATGCCTGTAATCCCAGCACTCTGAGAGGTTGAGGCAGGAGAATCTCAAGTTAGAGCTCAGTCTGGGCAACTTAGTGAGTTAGCAAGACTCTGTCTCAAAACAACAACAACAACAACAACAAAAAAAAAAAAGAGGAGGAGGGGAAAAAGGAGAAAAAGATCAGGAAGAGGATATGGGAGAAAATAAACCAGGTGGAGCCCAGGGAGGCTTCTCTGTCCTGTGCCTTGAAAGGTCTTGGTCCTGTGCCACAGAGCTTCTTCTACTTCACCATTCCCAAGAACTCTTTCTCTCAGTGGGAGAAACATGGCTGCTTCCTTGGAATTTGGTAGAGTATCATCCTGCCTCAGGAGGAACAACCCAATGGTAGTGAACATATCCTGCTTGCTTCTGTAGGCCTTATGATCATCAGTCTTCTCAATCTAGCCATTCTACAAGTAATTGTTGAGAGCTTGCCATGGGCCTACCCTTCTGCTAGGCACGAAGGTACACACTGAGGAACCAGACATGGTCTCCTTTTAAAGGCACTCAGTCTATTGGAGAGACAGAGGCCTCTGCATTCAACTGTGCGGTTCCAAGGACCAGTGTGATGATGTAAGAATAGAAATTGAGAAGCTCGATGTTGATGGGAGTTGCCAGAAAAGCCTTTGTAGATGTGGGCTTGAAGGGTAGGGAGAACTTATCATTGGGGTGGAAAGAAGGGCAGAGAGAATACTAGCATCACAAAGGTGGTAAACTGAGTTGTGAGGGGAGAGAGAGTGGTAGGGGCTGTTGGGCTAGTGGTTTCTCATTTGAGTATCACTATTGTTCTTCCAGTGTAAGGACCTACCTTCCAGAGGAGCCTAGGCAAGGAATTATGGCAAGGACCTAAGGATGCAATGCACAAGTGTGTTTTCTTAGGCCACATATTTTGACTACATGATTTCCATGGAGGAGTCTGAGCATCTTTTGATGTTGAGAGTGGGTGCTCCGTTCCCGAAGACATTAAGCCCAGGCTATGGGACAGTAGCCTCGCTAACTCAGCCTTATCCAATGATAATACTTCTTTGATTAGGTTCTTTCTCACAAATGTAAAATAAATGGCATGGCCTGTAACCATGGGACTGCCATGAAAGTAAAACCAATCACCAGACAAACCCACAACTCTCACTTGGCTTCAAGTTACCACTTACTGGGAGAGCTATTTTCTCTCTTTTCCAAGGTTAAACCTATGAAAGCAAAAAGAAAGCCAGAATTCCTCTGGTGGTCCAGCCACTTGCTGGTGTTGAAGAAATGGCCAAAGCTGAGTAGGTACTGGCAAATCTCACAGCTCATCTCTCACTCCAAAAGGTTTGCCAAGTGAAACACAGTGTGTCCAGTTAAATTTGAAGTTTAGGTAAACAACGAATACTTTTTTAATGGAACTCTGTCTGAAACACTGCAAAGCTAGCTGTCTGTGTCTGTGGGAAGGGTGTGCATGTGCTAAACCTGGCAACCCTAACCCCAAACACTTCTCATTTTCATTTTCAGGCTTTTGCAGAGTGTGTTTGGGGTCTTTGTTCTGCAGAAGGTTGTCCATTTCACATTTAAGTAGATTGTGCTAACCCCCTGCATCTTTAAAAGAGAAAGGCCAGCATTATCACTTCCTGGAGGACCTGTGGTCACCGTAGCTGGGGAGCTAGGGAATGCTGGGAAGAACTTGGAGCTAGAGATTCAAGGAACTTCAGCTCCAGCTCTGCTTTCTTTTGGGCGGGGGTACCAGGGATCTAACTCAAGTCCTTGCATTTGCAAGGCAGGCAACAGAACCACTGAGCTAAATCCTGGCCCCTAGTTCTGCTTTTGTCTGCATGACTTTATACAAACATTTTGTTTCTTTGGGACTCTTTTTTTCTTACCTTGTGAACAACAGGAGTTAAACTAGTGGAGGATTTCAGGCTTCTGAGTGGGAAATGTAAGGAAGTTCTGGCTTAGGAGGTGGACTGTGAGGGGTGGGGATAAAAGAGATTTGTTGGCTGTCCACCCTTCTGTGTGACCATGGGGAAAGAAAGAGCTTGTTAGGTAGCCTGTGATAGAGGCTTGAAGACTGCCAAACTCAGGAGTTTGCCTTATTAACATTGGGCCTGAAATCTTGGTGTTTCAGACCTTGATGGAAAACACTCTCACTTCAGAATGAAAGGTGGGGACCCAGGGCTCACCTCTTCCATGACACACTGACCTGCACGTTGGAGCCTGTATGTGGCATCGGGGGGCCATGTCCGCAAGAAATCTCGAAGGTATCTCTTGGCAGAATACCCGGGCTGGATTTGCCGTTGGGCCTGGCTCTGTGACTGACTTCGGAAGTAGAGGTAGGGTTGCCAGGAGCTGTCCTGCTGCCTCTGTGGGGACAGCAGTGGAGAAACAGCACAGCTGCTGAGCCCCAGTCTCCCAGGGCTGCAGCCTGCTTAGCGCAATCTTCATTGTAATCTGGAGACTCTCAGAAGGTGCCAGAGGCACCCAAAGCAGCTCCTTCAGCTAAAAGACATAAACCAAGAGGATACAGAGAAAAGCCCTGAAAGGCCCTACAGACCTGCAGTTGGAAGGAGAAGGAGACATGATAAATACCAGACTCCAACTTGAGATACAATGCTGGGAAAGGATAAAGCCTCAGAAGAAAACACCTTATTTTATTCAGCCTGTGGAAATCATCAAAGTTCCTTCAAACTTTCTGCAGTGGGAAAGCCAGTGTGCAAATCAACATCAGCACTTGATGTTTGTAAGATAAATAATGTGACAGACAAGCCATGTCCAAGCCCACAGGGAGCCTGGCATTTTGAGAGTATGTGGCTCTGCTGTGTCTCATTTCAGCTAAGGAGTTCTGAAATATTGCAGTGGGTAATCTATAATAACATCTTCCATTTGGCTAGGGACTTACATTATACAAGGATCCTGGGCCTCCTTGTAATTGTATGAGGTAGACTGAGTTAATGTAACTACTGAAACAATGTAGAAACTCTCAGAGGATGACCAGTTAGCTATAAGAAGAGCAAATGTAGAACTCTTCTCCTTGTCTGTGGCAGACATTGTTAACCACTCACAGAATTCTAGACTACTGAATTGAACATGATCTCAGAATCCACTCCCTTTTCAAATGTTTGAAAATAAATTGAGGCTTAATTTACACATAATGTTCAGCTTGATAAAATGAACAGTTGCAAACACGCCTGTAACACCACAAAATATAGAACAGTCTCATCAGCCCAGGAAGCGCCCTCATTCTATTTCCCAGACACTGCCCTTCCACTATTCTAATTTCTATCACCATGAACTAGTTTTTCTCTCCTCCTGAATTCAAACAAATGCTAACATATTACAGTGCTTCCATGAGAATTAGCAAGAGAGATGAAACCTATTTACTATCCCTTGATTCAGCCTCTCTTCTGAGGCAGTAATGTAGACTAGGGAGATAGAGGATGTCTGAGTTCATTTTTTGCTTCTTGTATCACTGCTTGGGAGAAAACAGAAGGGCACAGAGTAAATGTGTGTGTGTGAATGCATATGTGCATGAGAGATAAATGCATACCCACTTGTGTGTGCCTGTGAGAGATGTGTATGTATGTATGTGTGTGTGTGAACCCATGAGAGATAGGTGCATATGCATGTATGTGCACTCTTGAGAGATGGGTGTATATGCCCAGGTGTGCTTTTTTTTTTTTTTTGGTACTGGGGATTGAACTCAGGTCCTTGCACTTGCAAGGCAGGTGGCAGCACCAATGAGCTAAATCCCTGGCCCTGAACTCATCCATTTATAAGAAATACACTCCCTTAACTAACTCATTCTTGTGATAATAAAATTAATCCATTTATGAAGGCACAGCCTAGTGTTAAAGGTCCCACTTCTCAAAAATTTGTACTGGGGGTTAAGTTTCCAACACATACACTTGGGTGGACATATTCAAACTACAGAAGAGGGTAAAAGGCTCAGCCAGTTACCTATAGCATTGAAACCAGAATCCAGGGCTTCACAGACTACACGAGCATAAAGCCCCTGTTCTTCAAGAACTCATCATTTCACCAGTGGACCAGGACAGAGCACCACGAACCAGCACGATGTCAAGGCAAGAAAAAAAAAAATGATGGCTTTGAAGTGGGTGCCTTAGTGAGTATTCCATAGAGTTGGAACTGTAAGAGCAGAGACCAACATAATTACACTTGTTAGGAGTTAGCAAGAGCTGACTCAACTTTGCACAATGAAAAATTGTACTATCTCATATAACAAAAAGATCAATGATTGGAAAATACCAGGACTTGTTAAATCAGAGCTTCAGTGGTTCAGAGGTTCAATGGCTCCAAGATCATACAGGCACCAAATCCCTTTCTACCACTGACAACAGTCTTTTCACTTCATATCCACAGACTGCTGAGGCTGAACAATGGACACAGGAGACATCAAGTGGGTACGCAAAACACAAGCAGAGAAGTGGAAAGGGGTGAGGGTATGAGAAAGCCTGGGGAAGTGCCCCGGATTAGGGTTAGGGACAGGGGTCTGGTTCAAAGCTCACTTTCTTGTAGGAGCTTCGTGATCTTAGGCAATCCCTAGTCTTTCTGCATCTCTCTCTAAAGTGACACCAATGGCATGGTAGAAAGTGTGGAAAGTTCATGGGGTTTGGAATCAGATAACCCAAAAGAATTAGATTTCACAGTGGGTCATAGTCAGAGGGGACACACCCTTGGGAAATTCATAACTAAATGAATAAACGGTTCCATTTCTAGCCCCAACACTTCCTAGTCACCTAGGTTGTGTAACTTCATCAGTGATGGTGACCCTGTAGGACTTTTTTTTTTTTTTTAGTACTGGGGATCGAACTCAGGTCCTTGAGCTTGAGAGGAAGGTGGAGGAAGCACTGAGCTAAATCACTGGCCCCCTATAGGGCTTTCTGATGAAATAATTGAAATAAACAAATGTGTCTGACTCAGCCTGTTTATGGCAAGATGGGAGGGTCCTTCCCCTCGCCTCTCTACCCTACATAGGAAAGGATTTCTGGTCTCCCAGCTCTGCTTGTGGGACATGAGAGGAACATAGTGAAAGAGCCTGAGCAGGAGCTTTGAGATCCAGCCTTAACCTTGCTATGCCTGTGACCTTAGGCGAGTTAATCACTTCTTGAGTGATTTTATCAGTGTCCTCAGCACGAGGATCAAGTGAGCTGAAGTGTGTGAAGTGTGTAATCGATACTTTCCATGTGGTGGGTGGTCACCAAACCAGGCCCTTCTCCTTTCCCTTGTCCAGGGTGCGGGAGGCTGTGATAACTACACACTTCTTCCCCTCACTTCTTTTACTAACAAAACCCCAACTTTTTGTTTACAGAGTCCTTTCCTCAGATTTTTACTTTTTTAGATTCTGTTGCATCTTGGAGTGGTCTTGTGATCTGTTTCTGGTGAAGGAGACATAAAGAGACACTTCTGGAGCTGTGGCTGTGTCCAGGTGGATAGGAAGCTCATTTCCTCCCTGTGCATTTTCACAGTCAGCTGGATTCTCTCCAAATGCATCGTGGCCCTTACAGTACAACATGGCTGCTGTGTGGGCAGCATGACAGGTTCAGTCTGGACAGAAGACCCTGTTGTTTCTCACTGGTGGGTAGCGCTGAAGCACCAGCTTGGTTCAGGAGCTGTGCTGGGCAGCTTGCTCAAAGGGTAGAGGTTCACCAAGAAGAGTTAGGGAAGGCCTCATGCTGAAATTTGGGTTTTGCTTTTTTGCTTAATGAAAGATGTCCATGGCCAGTGTATTAGTTTCCTATGGCTTCTGTAATAAGTCATGTACATTTAGTGGTTCAAGTAACACAAATGATTATCTAATGGTTCTAGCAGTTAGAAGTATGAAGTGGGTCTCACTGGGTAAAAGCCAGTGTTGGCAATTCCTGTTGGAGGCTCTGGAAGAACTCATTTCGTTGCTTTGTAGGGGGAAGGGGCTTGTGGACCAAAAAAATATGGGTCTCAGCCTCATTAAAGTGTTACCAGAAGGTGTTAAAAATAAATTTAAGGGCTGGGGATTTAGCTTAGTGGTTCCACCAAATGCTTTGTAAGCGCAAGGACCCAAGTTCAATCCCTGGTACCAAAAATAAATAAATAAAAAATAAAAAATTCCTCTGGAGGCCGGGCACGGTGGTGCATGCCTGTAATCCCAGCACTTGGGAGGCTGAAGCAGGAGGATCGCTGTGAGTTCGAGACCAGCCTGGGCTACATAGTGAGTTCCAGTTCAGTCTCAACTATATATA